ATCTGTGTAGTGAGACCCTGTACACCCTGTAATAAAAATATATAAAATATAAAAATATAAAATAACTTACAAGCAATCATAGATTATATAAAAACGTCAGATTTTGTCAAATAGTTCTTTAGAGCAGACACATGGGTTTGTCATACCTGCAGATAACATTTAAGTTGTTTCCTTACCTGTAATTTTTCTTTTTTTTGGCGGAACCGGGGATTGAACTCAGACCCTTGCGCTTGCCAGGGAAGCACTTATTCTACTGAGCCATCTCCCTGGCCCATTCTTGATGATAAAGCTTTCACTTTCTCAACCTTTCATATTTCTTCCTCTAGGAGAGATGCCACCCCATTAGTCTCCCCAGACATTTTTTTCAGAAGAAAGCTATAGTCTGGGAATGCTAACTGTTTTGCCTTAAAGTATTCTTTAATGCAATCAATTTAGAATGTTAGATTTATTCTAGGCTCAGTGTTGAACTCTTAACCAGAAAGTGCATTTGGAGTAAAAGTAAACACAGTGATGTGTTTATCAAGAGAATTAATGTGAAGAGCAGGTGAGAGACAAAGACTTTCTTTAAAAAAAGATCTTTAACTGTTCTTTAAGCAAGCACTTACTTTTTTAGCATTCGTGATTATTTTACTGGAATTAGAAGGATTTTCTTATGGTTATAAACTTATAACACTTTTTTTTTGCGGAATCGGGGATTGAACTTAGGCTCTTGTGCTTGCCAGGGAAGCGCTTATTCCCCTGAGCCATCTCCGGCCACTATAACACTTTTTAATAGCAAGTTTTTCATGATTTCTTTTCTGCTTTATTCTTACAGGAAATAATGACAGAGAAAGAAAGAAGCAATGTAATTATAGCAAGGATGAAAGATCGGATTGGAACACTGGAAAAAGAACATAATGTATTTCAAAACAAAATACATGTCAGTTATCAAGAGACTCAACAGATGCAGATAAAGGTATAGTGTCTTTCTTTGAAAACAAGATGAAATCTGTACATTCCTTTATTTAGCAAACTTAAGTGCTTGTGTGTTTCTGTGCTAGTCCATAGACATATATGTGACAAAACTCACTCCTTGGCTCAGGTAGACACATTTTCTGCGTGGGGATGAAGTAGGGAGGCTGCAAGTAGATGAATAAGCACATCATCATGTTGGATGGCTGGGACCACTGGACATGGGAAGTGGGTAAGAGAAAGATTGCAGGATTGACAGGGAATGCTCCTTAGGTATGACACACAGATTGTGTTGGTCTTCTAAATCAGCAGTTAAGATGAAGAAATGGAACCTGGATAGAAGAGTAACTTATCGTGAGTTTTTAGTGCTCAGTGGGTATCTTAGGATTGTACTTTTTTTTTTT